GTTGTTTGCCAGGAAGCCATCAAGGCAAGCAATCAAGTTCCCTCAGGACAAATTCCCCTCTAAGACTGAAACTCAAAGGGAACACAAGAGCAGGCATGTACACTTTGCTGATGACCACATTGGTCTACTGGTCAGTGGAAGAGGGGGAAAGGCGCAATGAAGAAATGGGCTGAGTTCAACCATGGTCCATAGACTCCCGTTGACCTGGAGATGAAAGAGAGAAGAGGAAGGGCTGGTTGGTCCAAAGTGCAGTGAGACCTGGGAACACCTGAGCCCATGGACAAGGCCATAGCCACGGAGGGCTAGAGCTGAGAGTGAAGCATCCAGCAGATATGAAGTGAGGGGCAATGAACAAGGACACCCAAATGTTCAGATAGTACCCACTTGACCTAGCCTCGATGGCTTGATAATCAGAACTCGACTAGAGGAAGATAAAAAAAATTTTTTTGATAAAGGAAAAGAGGATAAATTGCTACAATTTGATGAACTTGACCTATACTCATGGAGGTAGTAACTCTAAATACCAACAGAGAGTGAAGGAGTCTTCAGATCAAGTATCAGTGCTATAACCATTATACACAGGGTAGATAGGGACGGGCAACTTACACATCAGCTATCTAAAATGAGGGATGATAAAGGCACGAAGTGACTGGCTTGCAAGGTTTCAAGAGGGAGTTTAGTTTAAGAGTATGGGAAGAAAGAAAGAGTCCACGCTGAAGAGTTTTCCTCTTCTCTAGATGGGTCTGGTTAAAAGAGATGCGGATAAGATTCTTATGATTCACTAGTGAGTAATAGTTATCATGACTAATTGTGACTGTCACAATTGTAAAGGTAAAAGTTTCGTAACAAAACAGGGGAGTAGTTAATCTTACAGTCCAGAAACAGAGGACCCTAGGACTATCAAGGGAGAAGAGCACAAGCAGAATGCGGGACCTTATCCAGACAAACAGCAGCACCAGAGATGGAGGCAGAGGTAGGGGCACGGGGAGAGGGAGCAGCTGAGGACTCTAGATTTATGGAAAGAGAGGGACTGCGAGCTGGTGACCAGGAGGCAGGCTTGCAGAATATGCCCTTTGTGGTGTAAATTATTATATATGCCTGAGTGTTTTAAAAAATATATTAAAAAATAACTAAAATGAATACAGAGAAATACTGTTATCTGATCATACATGGAGAAAATGATAATCATTGTAATGAAACAAGGTGTATGATTTGTTGAATGTAAAACTGATGATCTGCCCGGCAAACTTTTACTCAATCCACAGTAAAAACATTTTTTAAATTTTTTTTAATTGTGTTTGAGTGAAAATTTACAGAGCAAAAAGCTTTTCAAGTGACCACTCACACAGATTTTGTTTTGTGACTTTGACTGCAGTTCCCACAATGTAACAGCGCACTGCCCACTTCCATACTGTGTTCGCCACATCCATTTGCCTTTCTTTCTATCTTTCCTGGCTTCTGTGCTTTATTCCTTTGTAGAAGCTGTTGTTTAGATCTCAATAGGTTGTCACATGGTTGTAACAACTGAACGGCACTTAACAATAATATATGAGTCATCACCCAAACTATGATTTTGTAAAAGAACACATGCCAGTTATGAAAGGACAAAACCAGGTCAACCAGACTGAATGACGGCCCTACTTACAGGGGTGCATGATCTGCTGTTGTTCCAGGCCTTTCTCTCTCGGCTCTAATTGTTACTTTCTTATTCCAGCCTGACCCCATTACTCCTTCCCCAGTAAGCTGAGTAACCTGAGAGCCATACTTACTTTCTTCTGTCGGTAATTTCCTCATAAGCTCCTTTCCTCTCAGTGACCTCCATTTCCAGAAAAGCAGCTATCTGAGTTCCAAATTCGTCTTTACTCATCTACACCCTCCAAATAGAATGGCTAGCTTTATGCTACTAATGTGTCCTGTACAGTCTTCTAGACAGTCATCTGCATTCTTTGGGGTTTTCTACATGAGAATCCACCCCTTATCTGTCAGTTCATCATGGTGTTGTGGCTTGTGTGCTATTCTGATGCTGGAAGCTATGCCACTGGTATTTCAAACACCAACAGGATCATCCATGGTGGACAAGTTTCAGCAGAACCCAAAGACTAAGACAGACTAGAAGGAAGGAATAGGTGGTTCACTTCTCAGAGATTCACCACTGAAAACCTCAAAAACAGCAGTGGGACACTGTTGGATATAGTGCCACAAGGTAAGTCCTCAGGAAGGAAGGCACTCAAAAGGTGACTGGGAAAGGGCTGTCTCCTCAAAGGAGAATCATGTGGATTCTTAATGATGTGGATGGAGCAAAGCTTAGGGGACTTTCATGTGTTGATGGGGCATGACTCTTGGAAAGGAAACATCTGAAAATATCCCTTAATAATCAGAACAAGGAATGTATGAGTATGAACCTAGGAAATGGGAAGTCATGAAAAATGAAACGGAAAACATAAATATTGATATTTTAGGCATTAGTGAGCTGAAATGCTCTGGTATTGGCCATTTTGAATAGGATAGTTATATGATTTACTATGTCAGGAACGAGAGATTCAAGAAAAATGGTGGCACATTCCTTGTCAAAAAGAACATTTCAAGCTCAATCTTGAAGTTTGATGCTGTCTGTAGAAAAGTAATATCTATGCACCTACAAGGAAGACCAGTTAATACGACTACTCAAATTTACACACCAACGAATAAAGCCAATGGATGAAGAAACTAAAGAATTCTGCCACCCTGTTCAGCCTGAAATTGGGCAAACATGCAATCATGAGGCATACACAATAATTGGTGATTGGGTTGCAAAGTAGGAACAAAGAGGAAGGATCCGATCCATAGTTGGAAGATACAACTTTGTAATATAAAATGAAGGAGATCACAGAATAGAATTTTCCAAGAACATTACAAACTACCTTTTGTCCCCCTACAAATAAATGGCAAATATATACATAGACTTCTGCAGGTGGAATATACAGGAATTAAATTTACTACATCTGTAGAAAGTGACCATGAAGAAACTCAATATTATTAGCCAAAAAAAGCCAAGACCCAACTCTGGAAAAGACCGTATTCAAATTCAGGTTGACGCCAATGAAAATCAAAGCAAGTCCATGAGGACCAAAATATAATCTTGAGTGTATCCCACCTGAACTGAGAGACCATCTCAAGAGCAGATTTGATGCATTAGACAACAATGACTGAAGACCAAGGGACTTTGGTGATGGCATAAAGCGCACCATGTATGAAGAAAACAAAAGATCACTTAAAAGACAACAATAAAAAAAGACAAAAAAGGATGTCACAAGAGACTCTGAAACATGAACTTGAATGTAAAGTAGCAAATGCAAAAAAAGAAATGATGGAGTAAAAGAGCTGAACAGAAGATTTCAAAGGGCAGCGTGAGAAGACAGTCAAGGATTATAATGACATGTGAAATTACCTGGAGTTAGCTCTGGTAGCGTAGTGGTTACGAATCGGGCTGCGAACCTTAAGGCCAACAGTTCGAAACTACCAGTGGCTCCGCAGGAGAAAGATGAGGCGTTCTGCTCCCGTAAAGATTTACAGCCTTGGAAACCCTGTACAGGGTCGCTATGGGTCAAAACCGACTCAACGGCACTTAACAACAACAACAACAACAGAAAACCAAAAGGGAAGGATTTTTTAATCTGAAAGAACTGAAGAAAAAAATCAAGCCTCAAGTTTATAGTCAAGCAATACAGAAAGATTCTATAGTCAAAATACTGAATGATGCAAGAAGCACCTAAAGAAGATGGAAGGAATACACAAAACAACTTGTAAATAGGAATCGGTGGATATTCAATCATTGATGTAATCAAGAACTGATGGTATTGAAGGAAGAAATCCAATCTCCACTGAAGGTATTGGTGGAAAGCAAGGCCCCAGGAATTGATGGAATACCAAATGAAGTCTTTCAAGTAACTGATGCAGGGCTAGAAGCATTCAGTAGGCTATGCTGAGAAATTTCTAAGACAGTTAAGTGGCCATCTGACTGGAGGAGATCCATATTTGTGCACATTTCAAAGAAAGGTAACCCAACAGAATACACAAATTATCTAACAACACTGTTCACATCACATGCAAGTAAGATTTTGCTAAAGATAATTTGAAGACAGTTGCAGCAGTATACTGGCATGGAGCTGCCTGAAATTCAAGGCCAAATCAGAAGAGAACATGCAACAAGGGATGCTATTGCTGAAATAAGATGGACCATGGCTGAAAGCAGAGAATACCAGAAATATGATTACTTGTTTTTATTGATTATATACCAAGAGGCAGTCATTTGAAATGAACAAGGGGATACTGTATGGTTTAAAATCAGGAAAGGTGTGTGTATCATTTCACCATCATCATTTAACAAAGAATCTGAGACACTGGACTATATGAAGAAGAATATGGCATCAGGATTGAAGGAAGTCTCATTAGCAACTTGCTATAAGTGTCCCACTCTTGACAAATCAACCCAGAAGTCCTGGTGTGGCACTGTGGGTTAATGCACTGGACAATGTGGTTCTTGACAAATTATGGGTCAAGAGTGATTATTCCAGAACACTGAATTGTGCTCTTGAGGAACCTATACATAGACCAAGAGGCAGACTTTCCAATCAGTTTAGGAAAGGTTTTCTCCAGGGTTGAATCCTTTCACCATACTTATTCAATTAGTATGTTGTTGTTTTTATGTGCCGTGGAGTCGGTTCCAACTCATAGCGACCCTGTACAGGGTTTCCAAGGCTGTAAATCTTTACGGGAGTGGAAAGCCTCATCTTTCTCCCACGGAACAGCTGGTAGTTTCGAACTGCCGACATTGAGATTAGCAGCCCGCTTCATAACCACTACGCTACCAGAGCTCCTTCAGGTAAAATAGAAGGTAAGTAAAGTAGATGGTAAGTAAAAATGAGGAAGACCGTGAACAAGAGGGAGTGACAATGAGTCTCCAGCATGCCAACTATTGTGAGGATGGCACAGAATTGGGACTGACTTAATGGTACCTAACAACAACACAACACTATGAGAATATAAGGATTGAAAATAAAATTTAAACAATTTTAACATATTCAGAGAATGCCCACCTCACCTCATCCACAGACCCTTGTGAGTTGAGAAGACTTCCAAAGACGTATCTAGTGTACAAGCCCAGAGTTCCACGTTATGGCATAAACTTTACATACCTCTCCTCAATCCACATAAAAGCAGATTATTCTTTATACCACATACTGTAAAGGATTCAGAACAACTCTATAATACAGTATCCCATGGCAAAATGCATCACTCCGCCAAAGAAGTAGATGATAAAATATTTTTGTTTGTGGGCGGGAGCTTTACACAAATACATTGTAGTAATTGAGATTTCTTAGCTAAGAAAATAAGAAGAAAAATATTTAAATAACTGAATTTCCAAACTCATAAACTTATGCCAACATCAAATAGTTAATGACATTTGAGTTCCCAGGGAATTTTGTTTGGAATTTGTTTTCATCAAAGAGGTTTCATTTCTAAATTTTGACTCGAGAGTTAGATAATTTTCTATGCCATTACTGTTTGGTCCAAAGAGGCCAAAAAGTAGGCAGGACAATTATTCTCTTCTTCTCCCTAACGAGGCTCACAGGGAGCCTGGCCCCAATAGCCAAGGCGTCTCCTGTCAATGCCTACTCTTTGGTTCTCACAAACATCTTTCAGGCACAGAGCACTGAGACCATGATGCCTGCTCCTCACTTATTCAGGACCTGCCTATATTTTCAAGATTTTCAAGTTCTGATCCCCACAAAAAAGAGAGGCATTGGCCAGTTATGCAGAAGTGAGGAACACATGACAGCTACATCAACAACCTCCCCCAGGTAACATTACAGCAAAAGAGATGCTGATATTTGTTCTTGAAGACATGAAGTTCTTTTAGGAATTTCCTTTAATAAATCTTCCAGACCCAGGGATCAACAGGAGAAATCCTGACTCCGTCAGCTGGATATTGAAATAAACCCAGCAGAAATCAGCTTTTTCTCTTTTCTTTAAGAGTTACAAAGGGGGAGGCACCTGAATAAATATAAGTAGAGACGCATACAGTCAAAGAATTGGGCTATGTGTATTTCTGTGTGATTTTCAATTTTTAAATATACTAGAATCAGGGAGTCTAGTAGGACTAGCATAAGACTGAGTGTGGAAAATTGGGGAAGTAGAGGGGGTAGATCTTCTCTGAGCAACTTTATTAAGAGATCTACAAACATGTCTAATGGGTCCACGGCCATGACTCAGGCAAACCAGTCGAGTGTCTCTGAGTTCTTCCTCCTGGGATTCTCCAGGCAACCCCAGCAGCAGCGGCTCCTCTTCGTGTTCTTCCTGAGCATGTACCTGGCGACATTCCTGGGAAACCTGCTCATCATCCTGGCCATTAGCATAGACTCCCGCCTGCACACCCCCATGTACTTCTTCCTCAGCAACCTGTCCTTCGTGGACGTCTGCTTCTCCTCCACCACAGTCCCCAAGATGCTGGCCAACATACTCAGCAGTCAGAGCATCTCCTTCATTGACTGTCTCACGCAGATGTATTTTTTCATTGTTTTTACAGACATGGACAATTTCCTCCTGGCTGTGATGGCCTATGACCGCTTTGTGGCAATATGCCACCCCTTACACTACACAACAAAGATGACCCATCTGCTCTGTGCTCTGATGGTCTCTGGGTCTTGGATTCTTGCCCTTCTAAATGCTCTGTTGCATACCCTGCTAATGGCTCGACTTTCATTCTGTGCAGACAACACAATCCACCACTTCTTCTGTGATATATCTGCTCTCTTAAGACTCTCCTGCTCTGACACATACCTCAATGAGATGATGATTCTTATTGAGGGGGCCCTGATAATGATCATCCCATTGGTTTGCATCCTGATTTCCTACATTTGTATCACTTGTGCTGTCCTGAGAGTCCCATCCACACAGGGAAAATGGAAAGCCTTCTCCACCTGTGGCTCCCACCTGGCTGTGGTTTCCCTCTTCTATGGCACCATCATTGCTGTGTATTTCAACCCTTCATCCTCCCACTCAGCTGAGACAGACTCTGCAGCTACTGTGTTGTACACTGTGGTGACCCCCATGCTGAACCCTTTCATCTACAGCCTCAGGAACAAGGACATCAAAGGGGCCTTAGCAAAAGTGATTTCTAGGAAATTTTTTTCTGTTCAACAATGACGTGGACATTGACTATCATATAGAATGCAGGTTTGTAATAAAATCTTTCTTTTTTACTTATTCTCTAAAACCTAGCAGTTGTCCATCCATATATTTGTTTTGGGAAAATGACAATTTTGGTACAGATCTTAAGGTCAAATACATAGAAATCATTTTACCAAATAACCAGATTATTTCCCGTGTCAAAGCCCTCGAGCCCAAACTACCAGGATCACACCTCTACTTTATTGTGCTTATGACTTATTATGAGACAGAAAGGGTTTCCGAGAAGTAGCTGGTGAGTTTGAACCGTGAACCTCGTAGCTGGGTGCTTACACTACAACACCTCACCAGGACTTCCCTGACCTGGATTAGATGTTGTCATAAAGCAGGAGTAATTTGTATTGTATATGTCAATATCTTATCCAGAAGGAGGGTAGGCTAGAAGTAGATAAAAGCTATAATTGGTAAGGAATCGGCCGTCACTCATTTCAGCCAGAATGGGGGATACATGGTCATTTCTGTGTCATGGACAATGTCTATTTTTGTCTGTGTCCCAACACAACTGCAGTGATCCAGTTTTGTCTTAATCCATAGTGGGCACTTTGTCTGAAACTGATGTTCTGTGGATTTCTCTATATTCCCTGGGGGACTGGTTCATTTAGGTCTGCAGGAACTCCTAATTCTTCCAGGCATTTGAGCTAATTAGTCATATGTTTGTATCTAAGCTTTATGTATGAAACAAGGTGGCCTGGTGGTACAATGATTAAGCATTTGACTACTAAATGAAAAGTTGGCATTTAAAGCACTCCATCAGCTCCTTTGGATAAAGATGGATCAATCTGCTTTCTTAAAGACTACAGCCTTGGTAACCTACGGAGTTGTTCTATAGGGTTGCTGTAAGCCAGAATCCACTCAACAACACTGGAGTTGGTTTTTGGATGTATCATACAGCATCATGACAGGTAATATGAGTAATTCAAACAAGAAGTATCTTCATCAGTCCCAATACCCAACCATTCCTACTTCAGGTGGTTCTAATCTTCTGTCAATGTGCTCAGATACATGTACAGAGATCCTCACCTATAGCCTGGTTTCACACTTTCAGTTCATATCAAACCTTTTCCAAATTGCTATACAAAACTCCCCATTTTTTATTTTGCTGACCTTATATACTTCCATCAGGTTTCTTTACCAAAATTTACTCCCTAGCCATTTTGTTTCTGAATAAAACATAATGGAAATTTACAATGAAAATGTAAATTTCAAAATGAAAGTTATTTTGAACCAACTGTGGGAAATAACAAATTTGAGAAATACTTGAAACTAGGTAAAGCACCATGGAACAGAATTCTCTGAATTTTGAAAAAAGAAACAGGAAAATAGAACAGTTTTCCTTAATTTCTCATTTCACGGAATTGAGTAAGATGACATCTTCTGTGAACGCTGGCAGATTTCAGAATCAGGCTGTTTGTGAGGTTAGCATATGGCTGCATATTTTATAATGATCAGATTTGCGTATTAAGATGTTTGTCTTGAAGAAAACAGGGGAGAATTTTCAATAGTCTATTGTATAGTGTTGCTGAGTTGGAATCCAACTCATTTGACCCTATAGAGGGTTTCCAAGGTATGACTAGTGTGTTTAAATCACTGTCCTTGTGGGTCACAGTCAAATGTTTAACCTACAGTGTCACACCAAGTCTATGTATCCACAAATTCTTCATATAATGGAGTATGTTGGTTCCTTAAAAGTTCCTTAAGAGCCTTGCTGTTGTTAAGCGCTGTCAAGTCGATTCTGACCAATAGCAACCCTCTATAGGGTTTTCAAGGAGCAGCTGGTGAGCTTGAACCACCGAACTTGCAATTCAAACAACTGTGCAGTCTGACACATTAGCCCCCAGCACCACATCAGTACAATTTTTTAAATTTTGAGTGAATAAAAAATGGGTAAATAATATTTATTGCAGGTCAGACATCTTTTCACATCTGCTAGTGTGTATAGAAGGAGCTCTGGTAGCATAGTGGTTACGAATAGCGCTGCTAACCTCAGGGCCAGTAGTTCGAAACTACCAGCTGTTCCACAGGAGAAAGATGAGGCTTTCTACCCCCATAAAGATTTACAGCCTCGGTAACCCTGTACAGGGTCACTATGAGTCGGAACCGACTCCACGGCACATAACAACAACAACAACAGTGTGTATAGCGTGATATGGACATTAGGAGGAAGTGACATTTTAAATGTCTTCAACTGTTGTCATTGTTAGATGCTGTTGAGTGCTCTCTGACTCATAGATATGGTGCCCGCTCTGCACCACACTAACAATCCTCGCAAAGTCCAGTGACTACTGTGTCAATCCATCTTGTTGATTGTTTTCCTCTTTTTCACTGATTCTTGACTTCACCAAGCATGATGTCCCTTCCCATGGATTGGTTCCTCCTGACAATGTGTCCAAAGTAAGTGATATGAAGTCTTGCCATCCTTGCTTCTAAAAAGCATTCTGACATACTTCTCTTGTAACAAATGTGTTCCTTCTCCTGGGAGCCTTCTGTATCAGAACACTATATTACTTTTTATTTCATTTGTGTTGCTTTTATATTTGTACAGAAAATCTTCTTCGTGAGGTTTTCATGTAATTGCATTGACTTGTAATGTGTAGGCACACGTTCCACATAATTAAAAGATCATTCTAATGCTCATTACTATATTTTTATTTCTAACTTTTTGTCATTTTTGCGGTAATTGCATTTTTAGAATTTGTTCATTTATTTCTTATGAACCAATTCTTAGTTCTTATTCAGTTAGTAATTATTATGAACCAATTCACACAGTGCCATTACTCATTGACCTTAAAAATGTATTCATTTTATCTGATCAAATTAAAAAAATATTCTTGGTTGTCTTTCCCCGGTAAATATACCTTTTGCATATTGTTTTCTAATTTAGTATTAATGCATGGCATAAAATCATGAGACATGGTGGAGGCTGTACAATCTGATGAATGTTATTGATATCACTGACCCACACAAATAAAGAGTATAGAAATGGCAAATGATCTGCTACCTATGAGGAGCTCTTGTAGCGTAGTGATTACGAATCGGGCTGCCAATCTCACAGTCAGCAGTTCAAAACTACCAGCTGTTCCATGGGAGAAAGATGAGTTTTTCTGTTCCCATAAAGATTTACAGCCTCAGAAACCCTGTACAGGGTCGCTATGAGTCAGAACCGGCTCCACAGCACATAACAACAACATATACACTTTTTACAGTAAAAAAAAAAAACAAAAAGAAAAAAAAGCAGCTCATAAAAAAAAAAAAAAGAAAAAGAAAAAAAAGCAGCTCATATAACAGCCTAAGAAACATAAATCTAAATACATCAAATTCAATCATAGTTTATGTATGTACTCAGTCGTTTTATAAAGAATATGTCAATAAGAAGCTTGGTCAGTTCCTCTCTAGGCCTCCCTAACTGTTTCCAAAGAATCAAGCCCTGAAAGTAAAAATTCTAGACAATGATAAACATTTATTCCAGAAAATGTTATCACATTATTTCCCAAAAATAGTTATGTGTTCACCTTCTCCCCACAATCTCTTCAGTCCTGGGATTTTCATTTTTTCTCAGTTTATTAAATAAACTGATATTGTATCTTTGTTTCAATTTGCACTCATATTTCCTTTATCATTTCCTTTCCTTTTGCTAATGAGAACATACTATTCTGTTATTCTTTAACTTGTCCATTATTTCCTTAAACCATATTTCTTGATTTATGTAACTAAAAAAAAAGTTTTTTCATAGTTTTTAAATTAAGAGTTTTTAAAATATCGACTAAATAAGAAATGGTTAAATAATATTTATTGAGCATGTCAGACATCTTTTCACAAGTGCTGGAAACTGCTTCTTTCAGTTAATACTTTGCCTTTTAGTTTTCGTAAAGAGCTTTTTGAATTTAATTTTTATGTACTCACAACTAGCAAACATTTATTTTATGGCTTCAGACATTTCTTTCATGATTGAGCTTTTCTTCTTCATCCTGCCATTATTTCACCTTCAGTATATTTTCCTCTCATTCTCAGATATTATACTTGACTTTTTAATAAATCTGTAATCCATGTTTATAGTTCTAATTTTATTCTAAAAATTTATCAAAATATTGTAGCCCATTTTGATAACCTCCCCTGTCACCACTGGTTTGCAATACCGCTTTTATCGTCTACTATTTGTTGCAAATGCATTATGTGCCAAGAAGTTGACCAAACCCTTTCTCTTCTAATAATCAATCACAGCAAAGGGGCAAGTTCATTATCATCCTCACCCCATGCCATCCCAGGTTTAGAAAGATTTTAAGTTCAAAGTCTTGTAGTAAGGACATGATGGAGCCATGACTGGGGCACAGCCTTCATGACCAGCTCAAACCTCTGAAAGACTACCAATTCATGTAAAAGGGGGCTTCAAGAAGTTCATGGAAAACAGCAGCATCTTTTATTCCATTTTCCATGAACTTTTTGAAACCCCCTCTGATGGCATTTAGCAACAACACAAAACATAGGTAGATGGACTTCTGGTGTTCTGCTGTAGGATTAGCACTGGACTTCAAACCCACCAGCTGCTCCTCGGAACCAACTCGATGGCTCTTAACAACAAAAGCAACATATGCATAGATGAATATACACATGTAAATAAGTTTTTACTTCTCCTCTTTTGTTACATTGATCTTGGTTTTTTACGGTGCCATTTATGGACTTGGCGTGAGGGTAGGAATTTGAGTGAAAGTTTGCAAAGCACATTGGCTTTGCATCTAACTATTCAGACACATTTTGTTTTGTGAATTTGATAGCAGTCCCCAAAATTTAATACTATTCTACCCATTTCCATCCTGTGTTTCCCATTTCCATCTGCCTTTCTTTCCATACCCTCCTGACCTGGAAGCTTCATCGCTGGGCAAAAGCTGTCCTGTAGATCTCATACGTTGATGGCTGTCAGCAGTCTGCTACCCCCGGGTGTTACAGATCACCCTGTAGGCCTG